TATAGATGTTTTATGTTTAGTTGATTCACATTAAGTATAAAGGTTGGACCAATCCTATAGATGTTTTATGTTTAGTTGATTCACATTAAGTATAAAGGTTGGACCAATCCTATAGATGTTTTATGTTTAATTGATTCATATTAAGTATAAAGGTTGGACCAACTCTTTAAATGTTTCCTGTTTACTTGATTCATAGTAATTGTGCATTATACACATGAACTCACCTTACCACCTAATCCTGTATTGATGACGCTGTTGCATTTTTTTATTTTTTGTGGTTTCTTTTAAATTATCTCATGAGCTTGATTCATCATCCAATCCAAGTAACAAAAATAAATTACCTTATTTCCTCCTTTAACGTATCTACAAGCTTAAACACTGTGGCACTTGTAGGACTTGTTTATAGATGACACTAACTGTATTACACCAGAGTAAAAAATAAACTTATTTGCACAAATTAACTCAACATGCGAGATAGCTAACGTAGATGCAAACATTAATTTTTTCTACCAGCTATTAATAATTTTCTATCTTCTCAGCTATCTTTTCCACACTTCACTGAACCAATAGAAACTCTGAGGTCCAATTTTCTAGGTGTTCTAGGCCTAGTTTATTAGAAACTTTTTATCTTAACATCATCATTATGACTCATCACTCTCTCTAGTTAACATCTAAATTACAACATTAAAAATATAGCTTACAACAATACTTTAAATCTCACTGAAACCGTTTCATCATTCATTACCATATGTTAGATATGAAGGTTAGACCAGCTCTATAGATGTTTCATGTTTAGTTGATTTTGGTACAGAGGTTTGAGAACGTTGTATTAAAACTACCTTTTAATACACAAATCAGCCAATCACGCGACAACCACAACACAGCCGATACAAAGTTGCAGTGAGAGAGAATGTATCAGAGCTACATTTTAACATTGTTTTAGTGTTTGTAAGTAATGTGATTCTACCAGAAATGTAGCACTTTTGGGAATGGTATGTAACAGCCACTTCCCTTGCAAAATTTTTATACACTCAGATCATAAAGATGTATTCAGATCATGGATTTAGAATTCCAAACAAGAGGATATCCCTTAGTAACAGCATTGGCAAACAAAGGAAAATGGATCAACTTGGAACACCAGGACCATCCTCCCCCAAAAAAAAGAAAAAAAGAGAGACTATCAACAAATTGTATCACAGTCATGGCTAGCAAGTTAGCATTTTGTAGCAGATGAGACTCGACAAATACAACAATCAGTGGCAAAAACTGTCCACTTGTCCAAGTCAACAGTATGCAATATAATCAAGAAGGTTCTATGACTGGAGAAGCCAAACAAGTTACGTGTCATGACGAATACAAATTATAGTACTAAAAATAAATTATGTGTGGAGCTCATGTACTTAATCTCAAGCTTCAGATCTCTTTTATAGGAGGCTCTGTTGTTCATTGGCCCTTGCTTAGATCTTAAAATAATTTGAATGGACAACTATGTCACACTCATCAAGGGCATGTTCAACTACACCCAATCAAATTGTGGATACCTAATATGCATGTTCTTTCACATGAGTTAACTATTTTCTTTCCTTTTTTGTACCCGACATAGCTTTGTCTTGATGTAACATGACCACTCTTGTAGTGTCTACACCTCAACCGTGTCATGACTACTGTAACTTCCATGTGTAGATCACCTCATGAAGATTGTAATCTCCATGTCTAAACCACATCACGATTATCATAATTTCCATGTCTATACCACATCATGACTATCATAACCTCCAAGTCTAGACCATGTCATGACTATTGTAACTTCTATATCTTAACTACGTGTCACAACACATACTTAATAAATCTACATCTTGCCCATGTCATGACTATTCTCATAACCTCCATGTTTTGACCACATGTCATGACACATACTTAATAAATCTACATCTTGCCCATGTCATGACTATTCTGGTAACCTCCACGTTCTGACCACGTGTCACTACACATACTTAATAAATCTACATCTTGCCCATGTCATGACTATTCTGGTAACCTCCACGTTCTGACCACGTGTCACTACACATACTTAATAAATCTACATCTTGCCCATGTCATGACTATTCTGGTAACCTCCACATTCTGACCATGTGTCACGACACATACTTAACAAATCTACATCTTGCCCATGTCATGACTATTTTGGTAACCTCCACGTTCTTACCATGTGTCACAACACATACTTTATAAATCTACATCTTGTACATGTCATGATTATTCTGGTAACCTCCATATCTTAAATGATCCATATAAACTTAGAATATAAGGAGCTCTAATCCATAATTTTGTGAGATTTCACTAAAGTGACAACCATTTTAATACCTAAGCATTTATTAAAGGTCAACTAAATATTGTGTTAATTTATTCATTAGCTTTGGTATAAGGTATTTTTCTTCAAAGATCTGTTACAAGGTTTAAACACGAGAACACTAAACCAGTGGCTGTTCAACTCGTATCTTAATCCAAGTTGGACAACATGGTTTCTAACTGGTTATACAAAATCATAATGTATCAGCCACCATGAGATCCAAAAGTACACAAACTATGTATTTGTCACAAGAGTATTATTGTACAAAACTATTAGTAAACTGCTGATTTTCCATAACTTTCAAAACAAAAGGTTAGAGGGACTCAACACACATCTACTATAATCAAATCTATAATACTTCTTGAGACAAAAGCTACTGATCACTGACCAGAATAAAGAGCACAGGATTTGCAGGAAAAGTTTCAATTATGTAGACCTAATGGGACAAAAGTCGAGTTCGAGTTACGTCTTAATGATCATCGAAATAAAGAGCACAGTATTTTCAGGAAAGGTTCCGATTATGTAGACATACAGGATATAAGTCAAGGGTCACAGTTATGTTTTAATGATCATCACCAGAATAAAAGCATAGTATTTTCAGGAAAGGTTCCGATTATGTAGACATACAGGATATAAGTCAAGGGTCACAGTTATGTTTTAATGATCATCACCAGAATAAAAGCATAGTATTTTCAGGAAAGGTTCCGATTATGTATACATACAGGATACAAGTCAAGGGTCACAATTATGTTTTAATGATCATCACCAGAATAAAAGCATAGTATTTTCAGGAAAAGATCTGATTATGTAGACCTACAAAGATAAAAGTAAAGAGTTTGAGTTATGTCTTAGTGATCATCACCAGAATAAAAGCATAGTATTTTCAGGAAAGGTTCTGATTATGTAGACCTAATGGGACAAAAGTCAAGATTCAGAGTTATGTCTTAATGATCATTAAAATAAAGATCACAGTATTTTCAGGAAAGGTTCTAGTTATGCATACCTATAGGGACAAGAGTCAGAGTTATCTCTTACAATAAAAGTGTATGCTGAAAAATTGGCAAGAAAAATATAAAGAAACCCAAGTATATGACAGGTTTTCATGACTTTATTTTAGATTTTGTAAAATGTTATAAAAGACATTTAATAGTACATAAATATCAATAAAAACAAACTTTATTCTGTGAAATCATTGTACAGAGCTAAGCCAGAAAGAATGATGACTACACCTATGCACAAAGAACACAGTAAATGAATTGTCTTTCATATTACACACATTCAAAGCTATTTTGTAAAGCAAACAGCAGCAGAGAAATGATTAACCATGAGAACTAGAATAAATAAGATTTAAGGTAACATACAAAATATTCTATGCCTCAAAATCCTAATGGCTTACTTCTAGCTACTCAAGAATGACTGTAAATAATGATAAATAAAATGTGATAGTATACTGAAGTTTTTCTTTTCACAGTTTCATTTCTTAGAACAGGAAGAAAGATTTATGGCAAAATATGAAAGAAAAAAAAGAAACGATAAGAATAATTTTCATCATTTGATTGTATAAAAGACAAAAGAAAACAATTATAAAAGTATCACAAAATAAAGAATGTAGCAAAAAAAAAAAAAAAGCTTAAAACTTTATTTTGCTTACTTGGTGACTAGAATTAACTAATTAGACAAGAAACTTTATTTTCCAATATGATAGTGCCTTTACTAGATACGAATATAAGTTGTGTTAAAAATAGATTTGAAATAGTGCACTTTCAATAAACTTGTTTCTTTCAGTTTGATGCAAAACAAAAATGCAAGTCTTCATTACACTCCTAGAAAAATAGAAAAAAAAAGATGAGTTACGTATTCAAGAATAATTAAATAACTGATGAGTTACGTATTCAAAAATAATTAAATAACTGATGAGTTACGTATTCAAGAACAGTTAAACAAATGATGAGGAATACAGAATACGTAAGTTTAATTGTTCTTAAATGATGAGTTACATATTCTGTATTCAAGAACAGTTAAATGAAAAAACTAATAAATTTAAAAAATATAACTTTTGATCACACATTACTTAATAACACATACAGAACTTATAAATTGATGTGAATCATCAAGTTCGTACCCATCATCATTGATAGTATGTTTGGAGATTCAGTAAGCTTAGGAGATTTAGTGTTATAACTATACTAAGCTATTAATACAAAGCAACTGGAAAGTTTGAACTTAATTAGCACTTTATGAACACACAAGTCGTAAGGCTTGGTCAAATACCTCTCGGATTAGGTATAATCATTCCTAATATAAAATCACACACACATGAGAGACAAACAATCAATAGTACCCACCACCACAATGAAATGGATTGACTTTGTGTTTTATAATGCAGCCATCAGTGGCAGAACAAGCAGTTCAGGTGCTGTGGGGCAAAGAAATGATCGGGGCCACTTTTTTCAAAAGATAAGACCAGACCCCCAGGCCCAGGACATTGCCACAACTGCCCTGTGCTAGGTCCACCTCTGGCACCCACAGCTGAAAGTGTTACTGCTTCTCAAATTTGGAATGTTGGGTCTGACACAAAATGTTTTTAAGAGCATAACAATTAATAAAAGAAAACAAAATAAAATTCTATTAAATATTAGTTTATAAAATAGAAATAGTATTATTAATTTAATTAATTCTAAAGAAAATTTACATATGCCATTACTTTTTGAAAAGATAAAATCAATTTCATTTCATTCCGAGGGATAACAGTGGTCATTTAGCCTATCTAAGGTTATTTGCCTCCACAATCATCCTATTAAAAAAATAAAACTGTCTTAGCTGTAGATGACTCCTACCCTGCCAAAATTTATATTTGTCTATCCTAATCCTATCATTCTCACAATTAACTATGAAATAAATGATGCATCAACACCAACAGTGTCCTTTACAATCTTAAACACTTCAATCAAATCCCTTTCAACTCTTTTTTTTTTTCAAGATAAAATAATTTCTCCTTCTATGACAACCACTCCATCCCAGACATCATTTTTAGCTCTCCTCTGAACCCTTTCCAACAATTCAATGTTCTTCCTAGTGTATGAAACCCAAGACTGAATACAATACTCCAAATGTGGCCTAACCAGTGACCTATACAATCAAATTATAATTCCTTTAGATAGGTGTTCAATATTTCTGTAGATACAACCTAAACTCCTATTTGACCTAACACTAGCACAACACACTGCTTGGATGGCTTAAGATACTGATCAACCACAACACCAAGATCCCTTTCTTTCATGACACTGTTTAGGTCATTCCCATCCAAATTATACATA